AACCTTTTCCTGTGGCTCCCTTAGCTGGCCGCGAAGGCGGATGCTGCTGTGGGACGTGTCACTCGTGCGGTGCCTGGTCCTTCCTAAGCTCCCCGGCATGTGTCCGTTGTCACCAGGAGGTCCTGGCTCACTACTCCCACCGCGCCCTGGACGACGACATCAGGAACCAGATGGCCATGGACTGGGTGAACAGGGAGCAGAACAGCCCGGGGGCCCTTTCCAGAGAGCTGGCTTGGACCGAGAGGGAGCTGGACGAAGCCCGCCTGGGTGGGGACCGGGCCGACAGGATCGTTCCCGGGTCACGTAAAGCATGCAATGCCTCTTCCAGACTTGTGGCCCATTTGCACATTTTAAAGATTTTTTTTTTTTTTAAAAAAAAAAAAAAGCTCCTGTACAGATTTTTAAACCTTTCAATACTTGCTCCTCAGCCGCCTGTCTGCTGGAGAATTCCTTCTGTTGCTTTTTTTTAAAGGTGGCATTAAAAATGCTGCCTTTCAGTGTTCACACTGCAGAGGTCCGATGCACGCTGGCGCTGTGGGGTCAGCAGTACGCCACAAAATGTCGCGCTTCCTCCGGAGAGCTTCGCTTCTTGGAGCTGATGCATGCCAGGCACGCTTTTTTTCCCTAGTAGAGAGAGGGGTACATCAAAACTCCTCCTTGATAAGCACACGAGTTAAAAAAACCCAACAAACCAAACCAACCAACCCAATCTCTTCAACGCTACGGTGCAGGCTGCGGGAGGGAATGCTCCCGAGCGCCTCAAAGGGATTTAAACCTGGGATTTTGTTTTGGCCAGACCTCGGTCTGGCGATCAGTCTGCGGCGTCGCAGTTCCAGGCGGGGGCAGGGTGGCAGGCAGCGCCGCAGCTCTCGGGCGCTGGCGTTTGCGCGGGGGTTAGGGCCGTACTTCGTTCCCTAAATAACGCGCCCAACAACAAACTACGAGGTCCCGCGGCGCTTAAGGGCTGGGGCTTGGCCCAGTAATTCGTCTGCGCCAGACAGAGCCTCCCGCTCTGCTCCTTTCCAATCCTCTTTGGGTTCTTACGGGGTTTAGCCCCGTCTGGCGGGGTGGGGGATGCTCCAGTCCTGCCCCGAGCACCAGCAGCGGGGACGAAGCGGACGGTTTATTTTGCTGGAAAAGGAGCCCTGGAGGTTTTTGGCTTCCCCAGCCAGGCTGGGGAGATGTGGATTTTTTTTTTTAAAATCTTGCAAGAAATGCGAGATGGACATGCTGTTCTCTGGAGCGGCTTCCAAACCAAATGTCAGACTTGGCCTTTTCGAGGAAGAAAAACCCTGGCCAGGGTTCCAGAACTGGCGAGCAATAACAGGGGAAGCTGCTCAGCTTCTCTCCCTGAAGAGCCCTGCGAATACAAGCCTTAGTTAACTAGAGCTGTGTTTAAGTCTGTTAACTGCGTTTAAATCCTTGTTAACTGGGCTGCCTGTGTTTAAATCCTTGTTAACTAGAGCTGTGTTTAATCCTTCGGACCAGAGCGCGGATCCAGCCCCCAGTGGCGAGAGCTCAGGCTGGGGCTTGGCCTCAACTCTGCTTCGCGTCTCTCAGCCGGATGAAGGGCTCTGACCCTTCGCTGTGCCTGACTTCCACCGCCCAGCTCCTGCCGCAGCTGCCCCCAGCAAGAAACAGTTGGTGGGGACAATTCTTCGGATTCCTGGTGGAGCAGAGAGCTCAAGTCAGCAGGTCGCACAGAGCGCGCCGTTCCACGGCGAGAGCTCGGCGCGGGAGGACGGGAATCGCCTGGCTGAAGGTGCGGGCTGCGGTTTTCGGACCCCCAGCCCGGCGTGTTCGTGCAGCGTAGCCTGGAATGTTCCTTCCGTGTAACAGCAGCGATGGAACGAAGCGTTGCGGAAGCGAAGATCTCCATATGCACTATTTTTTTAGATTAACAGTTCCCTATTCTTTGTATGCGTGCCAGTACTAAACCTGTATGATGTTCAGAGTTTTAAAAATGCCCTTTCTGACTTTGAAGTGTTCCTGCAGCTCACGTTCAGTCAAGGAAGTGCAGGCTGCTTCACGGTAACGCCTGTGTCCCTCCCTGCTTTACCGACACGCAGCCCAGAGGAGTCGGTGGTGTCTTGGTGGGAATACAGATTACAGACAGGCTTCAATTCAGCTTTCTTCACCGCGGCTTTGAGCTTGCTCCGCTGCTTTTCCGCTGGGTGGAGGTACAAAGCCTTCGGGCCTCTGCTGTCTCCGCAGACAGCCGCCCCGCGCCGGCTCCCTTCTCTGCAGCCGCCTCTCTCAGTATTTGGACCGCGGAGGCAGGCAGATATTCCAGCAATAATCTTTGTGTTGAGATGGAGATTTTAAAAATTGCAGTATCTGTAGGTATTCTAGTTTTGTATTCTCATCCTAACAAGCCTATTTTGGATTTTTTTATATATTTTTTTATATACAGCCTCTTTACACAACAGTATTAACGTTTAACATGTCTATAAGTCTGATTGTAAATGATGTGGAGTTGTTTTTTTTTATCTAGACCTTGTATTTGGATTTAATCGCTCGCTCTAGAAACAGCGCGGAGCCAGACGTCTCTGTGCCAGCACTTCCACGCCGGCGCGTAGCGTCGCGTCCCGTGGCGCGGCCGTTTATCGAGGGCCTGATCCGGCAGACAAGGGGGCTCCCAGAAACCTCGCAGCACCCCCGCCATCGGGTACTCTCCCGCGCTGCGGCGCCGGGTCGCCCGCGAGCTGACTCGGATGCTGCCAGCAGCCGCTCTCAGAGGAATCGAGGAGGATTGCGGTGTTTTCCTTCGTCCTGGTGGAAGGGAGAAGCAAAACCTGATATTCTGTGATTTGTGGCTTTGGCTGTTCGGGCGCCGGTCTGGAGTCTCCAGCTCTGCTTGGAAAGTGATAAAATGAACAAATCCAGGTCTTCTCCACAACCCAGATGGGTGGTTCTCCTCGTTCAGGCTGTGGAATTGAACGCAAAGCGGAAAGGAGAAGTCACCGCGCGTCGCTGCGGTCTGTACGTCTGATTTCATGCAATAAATCAAT